ATTTAGAAGACTTGGTCAGAAGCTTTGCGGCAGCGTTCTGAACAACCTGCAGATGATCCACAGAGGCTTTACATGAACACGTGGACAAAGAATTACAATAATCCAAACGAGATGAGACAAATGCATGGATGACCATTTCTAGTTCTGAGCGTGATACAATGGGACTCAGCTTAGCAATATTTTTAAATGTTAAAAACTGGAGCGAACCAACAAATTAGCACGAGTGTCCAAAGTCAGAGCTGAGTCACCAAGGTTCAAGCTTAGGTTTTTTTGAACCAATAACCAGGGACCTCACCAGAAACCAATGAGGTATTGATAATTGTAAGCACAGAGGGACCGACAGACTGAAAGACATTTTTACACAAAGATCCAGCTAAAATATCAAGAGAGCAGGAGGACGCTTTCATCGAATTAACTAATTTGAGCAGCTGAGATAAGGACACAGGTAAGAAACTTTCTAAAATAACAGGCCTAGGTGGAGTTGGGGCAGACAAGACAGACATTGTGAACTTTTTCAACAAAGAAAGAAAGAAAATTTTCACAATCTTCATTCGAGGTAATTCGAAGTAATTGAAACAGCAGGTGGAGCAGGAGCAACAATATCACTAATGGTGTCAAAAAGTACCTTGGGGTTACCTCTGCTCGTTGATACTAGGTCTGAGAAATAGGCAGCCCGCGCATCACGAACTGAAGTGTTAAATGCAACTAAAAGGTCCTTTAAGTGAAAGAGAGGAGTGTTTTCCTCCATAGTCGCTCAACTTTGCGGCAGGAACGCTTTAAACAGCAAATGTTGTCATTTATCCAGGGGGACGGCTTAGAAACAGGAGCTAATCTGGTTTCACAGGACAAACGTTGTCTAAAGTAGAGAGACAAGAGTTCTTAAAAAGATTTGTTAGTAAATCCACATCGTTATAAGGAGGTAAAACTAACTTGAAAGCATCAGAAATTTAACAGCAGTAGAGGAATTTGTGATGCGAGAGCTAACCACATGACGAACAGGAGAGAGGGACAGAAAATATATAGAACGCTTTAGACTTTTACACAGTTCTCTATATTTTTGCAGGAGAATTTGCCCAGAACATCAAAAAAGTTTTGGGATAGAACATACTTGTGCCGATCAATGTTGTTCCACGTGTATCAAAAAAAAACCACGATAATAATAAAATCAGGATCGGCTCTTAGCAAACCTCAAGCAACACAACAATTAGTTTTTAAAAGTGCTATTTCAAAATAATCTTAGGCTGACTCCCAGTCAATTGTGAAGAAACATTTTAAAATGCTGGAAATGTTGGTTGGACTACTCACAAAACCCGAGAGGCCGACTAATATGAAAAGGGTTCTTTCATTCTCAGTTAGTTAAAGGAAACTTTCGGTGCTCTGAAATTTAACATCTTTGGAGCCAAAGTCAGATATCCTTAGTTTTCTCTTAAAAGATCAAAAGTTTTATTTTACCCCCCAAAATAACAACCCCCAAAAAACATCATAGCTGACCTTGTTACAAACGTACCAGCCTTATTTATATATTTAGTACTTTCTAAAACTAAATGCAAGTCGAAGTGTACTGAAATAAAACAATTGGTCCTTACTTAAATAGAGCTTTGAGGTACACCACAAAAAAGAAGTCTCAAAGCAAGATGTAATATAATCAGTCAGAAGTGAAACTGATCCACTTTGATGATAAGATTTTAAACCACAGGGCTCTGCAGACTACTAAAGCACCAGTAACATCCAGCAACATTAAAATAACGCTATCTTGTCTGAAGCCACCAAATATGCTTTATGTAGGAGAAAAACCTGACTGGAACTTTTCAACAACAAATGCTGTTGTAGTCCTAAGCTATAAAAAAAAATCAGCTTTGAAATACTTTAAAAAGGCCTCAGAGAAGTGACCGAATGCACAATTACACATCTGAAGAGGGCTCACGCATTATTATAGATGATAGATGTTTATCTTGACTGAAATATTGGGGATTTAACAGTGTACAAACAGGAGTCTCTGATTCAGGATTTTTAGAGAGACTGAAAGCTCTGGATTGATTTGGAGAGTTTCAGTCAAGGTTTCCCCAACTGCTGCTGTGACTCAGTGAGCGTAAAGAATAAATACTGCCTAGAGAGTGAGGAGGTTTGCAGTCTCAGAGTTCTTCTGGTTTAAAAATGGAAAACTCGATGTCTTGTCAGTGTAGCTGTTCTTTTCTCTGCACTTGCATTTTAAGTTTAGTTAATTTTTCAAAAACGGAAGATGTAACACAAATTTTTCATGCTCTGTCTTGAAAAATATTTCTTGAATTCATCATTAATTTGCATGTGCTGTTTTATTGCAGTTACATTGTTAGTGTTCATTTTCTTTAATCAAAAATTTGATATCGTGTCAGGTCTCGTTTAGAATTTAAAAACCGGAAGGAACTCTTTGTGTACTAATAAATATGCTTATGTCTATTTAACTGAAAACCTTCATTTGTTTTTGTTTTTTTTAGCGTCCACATCAGCAGCAACATGTTTCAGGTGAACATCTGGATCTGTGCTGGCCTCCTGCTGTCCCTCCCTCACTGCACGTTTCAGTCGTGCACAGAAGGGACACCAAAACAGTGCGCCGATGCAGAATTTGCTCCGGGCATCAATTTGGCCGGAGAAGGCTTCGACATCACCAAAATGGAACGTAAAGGAGCCTTCGTGCTCAACATGAATGTGTGGAAACGCAAAGATAAAACATGCATGCTGTGTACCAACCCTTATCTTGAGAACATAAAGCAAAAGCTACCCCTGACAGTGGTGGACTGGAGGGCAAAACAGTCCTGCAGCGCCAAAGTTTCCACTAAACTTCACAAATCCAGCGAGTCTCTTGTCAGTTCCAGCGTTTCTTCTGTTGAAAACAACTGGAAGACCGATCTAGAAGTTGAAATAAATGACAAAAGTGGCTCTGTTATGCTGGCTGGTACCAATTCTAAACTGGCAGAGTACTCCATGGAGAAAACAAAGAGTGACAAATTCAGCTTCACTAGCCAGAGTGTGTCGTGTGAGTACTACAGGTAAGGAGCTCCACCCTTTATGAAATAAATGCGATAGTGTCACACGCTTGTTTTATACGCTTTCTGTCTTTTCTTGTCTTTCATCTCTCTGTGAACAAGCTACCGAGTGTCAAATACTCCAAAGCTGCACACAGAATTTCGGAAAGCAGTGAAAGATCTTCCCAAATATTACGCCCCAGAATTCAAACAACGGTTTTACAAACTGATTGACAACTTCGGTACCCATTACATCACAAAGGTAAAGGAAAATATGTAAACACAGTATCTAATCAATAAAAGTTGGCATTGTAAAAGGAAGTAAACTTTTCTTTATATGTCTTTCATGTATCATCCCAGGTAAAGCTCGGAGGAAGTATTGACTCTGTGACCAGCATCAAGCAGTGTCAGGCCAGCCTGCAGGGACTCAGCTTGGAGGAGGTGGAGCTGTGTCTGGAAGCTGAGGCGTCTGCGAGCATTAAAGCTACAATAAAAGCCGAAACAAAACACTGCCAGAAAGCTTCAGAGAAGTTGGAAAATAAGAACTCTTTCTCCGACCTCTTCAATGACAGGTAGAGAACATTTTATTACACACTGATCAGCAACAACATCAAAACGTCCTGTCCAATATTCCCCCCATCGATGACTGATTGGATTGAGATAAGTAATGAGAAAGGCGGGAGCTCGAGTGAACACCTCCAGTGCTTTGTTTAGTCGTTCCTGAGGTTATGTGATGTTGCATTGTCCAGCTTGGCCAGGCTACTTTCAGTCACATGCATGTCTATTTTAAACTACATGATTTCACTTTACCTGAAATGTTTTATCTGTTTTCACCCTTTAACAACTCACGCTAATATTTTCAGCTAATATTTCGGCACATCTGTTTGAAATAGTCCCCTCTTTTGCAGGTTTACAGATATAAAAGGTGGGCATACCACAGACACAGACCTTCTCTTCTCTGCGGAAAAAAATCCAGCTGCCTACAAGGAATGGCTGGAAACCCTACCAAAAAATCCAGATATCATTTCATACTCCTTAAATTCCCTTCATGAGTTGCTTCCTGCCACAGCCAAAGCCCGGAAAAACCTGCGCTCTGCCATTAGCCATTACATCCTGGAGAAAGGCCTGTGGAGAAACTGCAGCGCTCGCTGTCAGGCTGGGATTAAGAGTGACTCGAGGGATTCCTGCGTCTGCCAGTGCCACAATGACCCCGCCGTGAACCAAGACTGCTGCCCAGCTCGTAAAGGTATGGCACGGGTCATCATAACAGTACAGCGGGCCACTGATCTGTGGGGGGACCATACCACTGCTACAGATGGCTATGTGAAGGTGCACTTTGCTGGAACAGTGGCGCAGCGTACTCCTGTCATTTATAACAACAACAACCCACACTGGGCCACGGTCATCGACCTGGGCACGCAGGATGTCTCATCAATTACCAAATTCAGATTTGAAGTCTGGGACGAGGACAGCAAGTGGGACGATGACCTGTTGGGAGAATGTGAGCCACTTTTGACTTCTGGAGTTACAACCGATCTCTGTCCTCTGCAGCACGGCCAGCTGTTCTACAAAGTGGAAGTGCAATGTGCTCCGAGTCTGACTGGAAAGTCATGCACGGAATATAAACCCACTCCTATTAATCCAAGTCTGAAAAAGCTATATGTGTCACGCAACGCTCATCCTATTCCACCGGCCATCCTGTCAAAAATGGGCGTGTTTGTGGACAAATCAAGCTCATGGAAAAACCAGAGTTTTGCTCGCAAGAGCTTCACGTATGGCATAAAATAACACGCACTTACGAATTTGGTAAGACTTAAAAGGGAAGATTATTTCTACCTGGGCCAAAGGGGGTGATGTATTGATTTGTTTGGTTATTCATCTGTTTGTCTGTTTTTCAGGACTGAAAACAGATCTCAGGATTCACTCGAAAACCTAACCAGAAGAGACTCGGCTTCAACGTGAAGGATTCATTCTTTGCTTTCATCTTGCAATTTCTAGACTATACCTTATCCGTCACTAATATTTCTCCATATAGGATCATTTGTGCAATGTTTTAATGTTCTAGATGTCAGAAAACTGGATTAATATATTCAAATACATTTAATAAATATTTTGTGTTTGTTTATGGATGTATGCATTTGTATTCCCTAAAGCCAGTTAGATATGAAGACATTATGTAGCCATGTCTGTTGTAGATCATATAAAAGTTTCTGCTAATCCAGCTCAACCTTAATTTATAATGTTATTATCCCTCATTAATAATGATTTTACCTACATCATTAGCAAAATGAATTTTCCTGCATTTTGCAGCAGTTTATGTGTCAGTTCAAGTATTTGCACAATGTTCCAATATACCATATCTGTTTTATTCTCACTATAAATGGAGCTTTATTATGCACAATAAATATATAATATCTGAACACGTTGTTCTTGTCGATATTTCACCCTGCTTTTGGTGGTAGTGTTTACTTTTTCTTTGGCAATGTCACCTAACTCGAAAAGGGAAGTGGTAAAACTTCCTGTGTGCGGATGAGGTTTCATTGTGTCTATTAAAGAGCACACTATCGCACACAAAATGTTTTGACTCAGAGGCTTCTATTTAGCGTCACTGGGTGATATAATTTATTGGATTAAAACAGAACAAATCATTATTCCAAAACAAAGGGACATATTTCTTGCATTTCACATCCATTTATGTTTATCAATCACCACCAAGCCTTTTTAGCACTGCCAGGAACAAACCCGTGGGTGCTGCAGGTTTGAGAGGAGGGAGACAAGCAGACAGACATCTGGTTTACAGATGTCCGTTCACAGAGAAGGACAAGGTGGATGAGAAGAATGAAACAAAAGACATACAGACATGACAACATAACAAAGTAGAGTAAATCACACAGAAAAGCTCTGCAACCTCATTGGACTGAACACTTTATGGTAATGATCCACTTGAAGAGGTCAACGTCGTGGGAATTAGCCTGGTTAGACACAGACACAGAGGAAAAGGGGAGAGCACAAAGATCATTAATACGGAAGAGAATCATTAATCACACAAAAAATGTGTGAAAAATGTACAAAACAAGCCCATCCTATGTCTAATTTTCACATTCAAACCCATATAAACCTACATATTCAATAACGATAATTAATAATGACTCAATCACAAACATAAACAAATGTGTACAGATTTATTTATTCATGCTTTTATACCATTTTATACTTTCTTTATTAAAACTTCTTTTCTTGTACATAGAATACAAGTTTACGAATAGTTATACAGTTTTCTTTGCACTGAATGGAGCAGCATTTGCTTTTGTCTTAATGACAATTAAATATTCTGATTCTGATACTAATAAAGGGAATTATTGTGCCCATTTCCCGTAAGGTTATTATTGGACTCTATTAGAGTAGCTTTGCATAATTCACAGTTCGAAATAATCCTTATGTATCTTATGCTTTACCTTGGTGCTCATCCACTGTCTAACAGCTAAAGTTTTCACCCATCACCTTTGTACAGTTACAAACTAAGCAGGTTCAGATTTTGTTGCGCAGCTGTTCTTTTTCACATGCAACACCCAGAAATAAACATTATACACTCTCGAATACGGTTTATGGTTTAGCTTTCTGGGTAAACATGCAAGAGGTGACACACGTGATGGTGGCAGCGAGGCTTGGGTAATAGGACAATAGGACAGCATACTGTAGCTCAGGAGGACCAAAGTATTCTTGGGTAAGATACTGAACCCCAAGTTCAGATGTGTTTATTGGAGAGTGAATGTGTGTGAGTGCTAGATAGAAGGCATTCACAAGACGTAGAAGAAAAGTGGTGATTCGCCTCTGTCTCAGTATAGTTCAGAGCAGCAGTGTATGTTTGAAAACAGCAGAAGAAGCAGTTTTAGTCACCTCCACCTTAAAGGCCATCGTCCACTTAAGCCAATTTATATATCATTGGCTGCCAGTGGCAGAAAGAAAATCTAGATAGCAAGCAGATGGGCTCGTTTTCCTGTCTGGTTTGTCAGTTAGCCACAGGTATGGCATTAGAAAGACTGGTCTGTCAATCTATTATTGTTCAGCGAGCAGACCTTTTGTGAAGAGGTACCTAAACCAGCCTTTCTATCTGAGTGTAACCATTTTTTTTCACACCCTAAGACTAAGTGAGTAGTATTTGGTAGCTTAATTTCAGGGTGTGAAATAAACTAAATGAACTAAATATATATCTCTAAGAGAAAAAGTCAGACAAAGGGACACTAACTATAGTCAAACGTGTGGCAACTCAAGCCACCTAATACAGACTGAAGATCTCAACAAAGTTGTTGTTATCTCTCAGTTGCCAAAGGACATGATAGCATATGCCAGGACGAGAAGGCGCTCCTCTCGCTTTAAGCCAACTGTAGCTGACAACCCCTCATAAACAGCAGATTTGCGTCTGAGATGACAATACTGGGAATATCCACTCTCTGACATCACACAGATCAAAGAGTAGAAAACAATTCTCACAAACCAGTGGGAAACCTGAGGTTTTGACTCACGGGTCATACACTGACTTCACTATTTGACCATGTTTAATACAACCATCTGTCACTGTAACAGTAAATATATACGGAGCCCCGCAGGGGACATGGGAGAAAAAAAAATTAAGACGGACTTTTGCGAGATCTCGCAAAACAAACTCGGGATCTCGCAAAAGTTTTGCGAGATCTCGCAAAAGTTTTAGCCGCATTCTTCGCCGACCTCCCGTTAGCTCGAGCTAACGGGAGGTCGAGACCTACTACAGCCGGGAGGAACACCGCTTTCCCGGCACATCGTGCCTCGACCTCCCGGTCGGCTTCGAGCCGGCGTCCGAAGAATGCGGCTAAAACTTTTGCGAGATCCCGAGTTGTTTTGCGAGATCCCGAGTTTGTTTTGCGAGATCTCGCAAAAGTCCGTCTTAATTTTTTTTCTCCCATGTCCCCTGCGGGGCTCCGTAGAAATAATGATAGAAAACAAGAAAAAGTGTATTAACTCCACTTTATTAGTTAACCAGACCTTCGTGCACTATTTCTCACCTTTGTATCCGTTACCCAGGGCAGCATTCACTCGATCATATTTGCCAGTCTGCTCTCCTGTTAAGCAATCGGCACAGGTCAGTGTTACAAATTCACTAAAAACGAAACTGTTACATTGAGACAAAGAAATCTAACAGCTATGTGTTAAACCTGGCAAAAAAAGTAGCATTAGAGGACTTAGCTATCACACTATGCAGGTCACATACCTTTCCTAAAGAGGGATATAATGCATAATACATGCAGCTGCACTTTCAGTGTGCAAGCTACTTAAGTAAAAAGAATAACAGTGAATAAGGTTTTTTTTTAAACTGCATCACATTTGTGTTGCTATTCTTATTTAAAAAGAATCCAAGTAAAGGACACTAATATTTTGACTCCTGCAAAATCACGTGATTATTACATATGAAGGCATTTTTCAGCACAGTAACATCTGTTGTGTGCTGTCTGTTGTGCTGCGATATTGTGCAAAACGACATGACTAATAAGGTAACCAGAAGCAGCAGTAGTGGTAGCTCATCACAAATGAGGAAGTGTCGGTGGTTTTCTTACCCAAAGCATCTTGAGCTGGCCCTAGCTGTGCACCGAACCCTAATAAAACACACACAACAGAAATTACACTTTTAAGGCCAGGACTTGGGACGTACGTATCTGCAAACATGCCAGGAGTACACTCTGAGAATTTAGGAGTACACTGGAAGTACTTTGAGAGAAAAAGTGCATTAAATTGAACCTGCTTGTTGAGCTCCATATCCTGCACCAGGGCCTGAAACAGCACAGAAAAAGGGCAACAATAAAGAGTCAATATCAGGCAGGATCACATAGAAACAGCCCTGCAGCTTATCTGCACTCACAATGCTTCTGATGAGTTTTATTTTTCACTATCTCTGAGGCTTTTGACCTCATTGGTACTGAACTAGAAAAAAAGAAAACCAAAACGACACAGTTTATCTGGCCGCATGGTAACTTTCCACTTTAGAGTTTCTCACACTTTTTTTCTCACCATATTTTGCAGATTTAGCACCTTCAGCTCCAAGACCAAGCTGCTGTGCAGCATACGGATAGCCGCCATCACCTGTGGGCAATGAAAGAAATTGGTTAAATGTGACTATTTAGCAGTTCACTGAGCTTTAATACTGTGATAAACTGACAGGATGTGAGAAAAAGAGAAAATTGTAAGCCTTGTTGATTTATTCGTTTATATACTTTATACTAACAAGTATACCAAGGCTGGGGCTAGGCCAGTTTCATTTTGGTTGCGTGATCATTGTTTATGCAGCATTTCGAGGCCCCTCAAACAAAGATGATGTCCCAATAACCTGCATGACTGGATTTTTCACTTTATAAATTTATAGTGAAGTGAAAAGCGTCCTCATATAACAAGATGCAAAATGACTCGAAAACAAAAGGGGAAGCCTACGATCTTCATATATGAACAGACTTTCTATGATTATTGAGTTATTTCCTATTACTATACTCATACTTCCAGTTTACAGCAGTTACCCAGTCATTCATCTTAATTAAAACACTGCTGCAGCTGCTGCCCTAACAGTTGAGACCATTCAGATAAAGGCTTATTCGCTCTAGACTTTGATAAGGTAATCAATACCTTTCCCATGTCTGTACAAAGCAACTGAAGCCAGCAGCAGTACCACTGGACTGTAATTTTAAAAAAAAAAGCCTAATTTGAAAGCAGAAAATTCAGCAGTTTTGAACTCTACATCTAAATCATCCCCTCATGCCCAGATCAAGAAATGTAAAGTACACTGTAAAAAAATGATAATTTAAATGAATTTATCAAATAAATTTTAAAGAATTTTACTCTTATTCTTAAATACATAAAATATCAATAAAAAATTGTTTGTGAAACATTAATGTTATGTCAAATGTAAAATAACATGAAAAAATGGTGAGTAATCGTGATTTTTACTGCAGGCTGACTGCTGTAGTATTGTCTGCTTGGCTGTAGAACAACTTTACCAAAATTTAAAATTTTACGTGCTTGTCTTACAACTCAGACATGCAAAATTTATTAAGACTTAGAAAGTTTTTCCTTCCCATTGATGCCGTGTGCTTGCTCAAAGGGGGATCATGTGCTTATTGGGGTATATTTCTAACACTGTAGGGTCTTTAACGTGTAATATATAGGTATTTGAGATAGCTGTGGCACATTTGGGTGATATAAAATGCAATAAAATTGAATGAATGAATTCAAGTTCAGTGTATGGTCACTTTGATTGACAGGTGGATATCATGATAGCTGGCTGTAGCAGTTAGCTGCATGCTGAGCCTCATATCTGCTAACAGGATTGTTTTCTTGAAGTAATTTTATTAGATTTCGCTTTTAAAATGTATAACTTGCAGAATTAATTATATTGGTCCAATAAGTCTGTGGTCATGGTCATTTCTAGCATTTTATTAGCCTGTTATTTAGCACTAATAAACAGATACCTGCCTGTGTACTATGTAAGGTTATATGCTAATGCTTGCTAGCATTAGCATATAACCTAGCTTCTGGCCCCAAAACGCCAAAATGAGGACGATGCTAATGTTAAGACTTCAAAATGGGTTCAGAAAACAATGGGTGGCTACATCTATTTCCCTCTTTTATCTACAGTCTATGATTTTTTTTTCTTTAGTCTGCAGGACTCAGAATAAGCCACATTCATCTACTTGTAATAAAGTCACTAAGCCTGTGTTACATTACATTTTCCTGTTATTTTGTACCATTTGACAAGAAAAAACCTCTTTAGTGCAGGACAAAAATGTCTCTATAAAGACAATATCCTGCAAGTGTTTAGTGTAGCGTGAAAGGACATACAATATCTTCCCATGATGTGATGTACTGATCTGAAAAAGTGTAACACTACCTGTTAATAGCATGGTGAAGCTTTTATGATGTGCAAAAGTTTGATATAATATACAATGTTGTGTGGCGCAGGTATTTTGCAATGATTATTGTTGCAGCTATGATATCAAGCTCATGTATCTACTACCTTCCAGTCCAGCAGGAAGCACTGGGGCATTACCATAAGGAGCCTGACCAGCTCCTCCTCCTGCAGGGGGAAGAAGAAAATCAAATGGTCAATCTGACTCATACATCGTCATCTCTCTCTCTTCACCCTTCGACCTCCATGATTAATCAGCAAGCTGTGCACTCTCCACCACTATAGTCTGAGTCACGTGTGGAAACCCACACTGACAGTTGCCTGACTAATAGCATGACTGAAGGGCGAGGTGCTGTCACCGTTGCTCACCATATTTGCCACCAGTTGATTCCAGGCCTGCCCCAAGTGCTCCTGAAAGAGGACGAGAGGGCTTTTTGAGTCAAGACTTCACACGTCGCAGAAAGCACATGTAGGCATCACTCCTTGCTGGTAAATGCAAGGCTTATGTTCCATGCAGGGTGTTTACTGGTTTGAAATTAAATTCAAACAGATTTGGAGGAGAACAGATGCTTTATATTCTATAACCAAATGCTTTTGAGCCCTTCTGTTTACTTCTGTTGGTTTATGTGAGAGAGTTTCCTTAAATCTCCTACCATAGCCCCCCTGGACCTGTCCAGCATAGCCTCCAGGACTGAGGGCTGAAAAAAGACAAACATAAACACACAGGTCAAACATTCTTGTGTCATTAATCGATTCAACCGATTAACTAGTTGTTAGTTTTAAAAGCATCTACGGGAGCAGGAGGGCAGAAACCACCAGATTTAACTGGTCAGCTTCAATAAATCAGAGACAATAGCTACACCCAGTGGATAAAAAAAACCACACTGAGCATATTAGAGGAAGCCGTTTCTATTGACATCTACTTTGTCAAGCTATCCAGTATCATGGGTTAAGCCTCTAAAGGTTAGTGCCATCACTCCTCACAGGTTTTTTAAGCAGGTTATCGCTCCTCAGAACTGTTACCTTCACTCTTCCCTGCTTTTTTCTCAGCACCATCGGCTAACTCTGCAGGGTAAGCAAGGTCTGAAACATAGTACTAATTAAGTAAAGTAAGTAAAGTAAAATTTTATTTATATAGCACATTTCTAGATAGAAATCACAAAGTGCTTTACAAGATATAACAGATTATAAAAATAAAAAAAACAAACAAGATACAAACAAAGTTAGCAAAAAGCAATTTAACTACACCCGGCAGCGGCGAAGCCAAACACTAATTATGTTGTATATGTCGAGAGCTAGACTGACTTTCACACCACATTTTGCTCCAGTAATATTCAGGCTTCACTCACCAGCTCCATAGCCGTCACCATTCCCGTAACCTGTTGAGAGGAGAGATGTAGAAGCACTTAAAAGATTGCAGTTATACATGAAAGAGAGGGGAAAAAATTCAAGTCTGTGATCGTGCTAGACAAAGCTTTTGCAAAACTGCCTCAGCCTACAGTGAAACACAAAAGTAACGGCAACAAAGAAAAAGTCCATCTTGACTGAATATCAACAGCTTTGATGCGGGCTGTCTTTGACACCAAGCAGAGTGACGAACGATTCTCTGCCAGTGCAGGTTAAAGTTTTCCTCAGTTTAAATACTCTTTGATGTATACTTCTCTAACTTGCTGAACTTACCCAAGCCGTTCCCTGCCACAGCACCAAGATATCCTGTTGCTCCATCACCATAACCTGTAATAACACACATTCACTGTTTACTTAATGGGATGATGAGTATGATGTATAGATTTAAGTCTCTATATAGATTTACATGACTGAAGTTTACATAAATATAAGTCTTTTTTCTTGAATGTAAAAAAGAACAACTGTATATTAACAGGACAGTTTAAAGATGGCTGACACGTTGATTGTTTTACTTGTTTTTGTCTCTTACTTATTAATCATTCATCTGAAAGGAAACCTCTGGTGTGACCTTGAACGTAAGGTAGAGATTTTTTTCTTTACCTCCTCACATACAACTGACAAGCAAATGATTGGTTTACAAGGCAAAGTAGGAATTATGCTGTCTGGCTTTGAGGCCTTACCTCCATTCACTGCCTTAAAAACAAAATTCGAGTAGGCAAATTACTTCGTATTTTCTTATCAAGCATATCCTCAAGTCTTTTCTGACAAGCTTCTACATCTGCACAGGACCCCGGGGTCTGTGGGAGAGACCCATGAATAGGCCTCCATTTCTTTGCCATGAGTTTAACTGATAGCCTCTGTTTAAATTAAAGGTAGTAGCCAAACAGCTTAGCACACAGACTGAGAAACACCTGATTATTAAGGTAGTCTGGAAATTTACTGGCTAGTCTGGTGAGACAACGGCCTGTTTGGGGGCATGTCCGTGAGATCATTGTCAGTGGCTAGTTGTTTGCATGTCAGCAAATGCACGTTTTCTTTTGTTTTATACATGAACTATTTAACTGCATATAACCAAAGACTGTGCAACTGTGACTGGCCAACAGAATTTGGTGTGAAAACAGACTATAAACCAGACCAGAAAGCTTCCACCAGGAAATTTTTTTCCATGCATACAAGGATAGGGCCACACCGCTTGATCTTTGAATAAATGTCACCACATCTCTATTGACTCAGTAACTACAGTGGTCCAAACCTCCTCTGGAATGAAGAGCAACACAAAAACTGTGGATCTTCGTGTCCTGGGTGTCTATGGCTGAGCAGCTCCTGTAGGTGTAACGGGTAAGCTGGCCTAGTCAGAGATGTAACGCGTTACTGTAATCTGATTACTCTTTCAAGTAACGAGTAAAGTAAGGGATTACTATTGCAAAAACGGTAATTAGATTACCGTTACTTTCCCGTAGGAAGAATGTCTCATGACAGTGACGTAAGCAAGTGCGCCGTTAGTGACAACAGCTGTGTGCAGATCAACAATGGATCATATATCGATTGTGGGAGAGAGTATGAGCGTGCAGCGTTTAAAGCGTGGAAGTACTGACCTTACTTTGAGTTTGATTCCATAAAAAGTGACAAAAACATTAGCGTCCGTTGTGCGTGGGAAGAAAACTTCTTTTTACAGCGAAAAAAACCCTAAACAAGCACCGAGTAGCATACGACTAATGGGAAACTCACAGAGAAACTCGCGGATTCTTCAACTGACCGCGGCACACCTGCACCAGGGTAAACCTCCGCCTACCCAGTCCTGCTTTACAGGTGAAAATAGAGCAACAGGACCGCTGAGTCTTTGACTTTATTTATTTTCTGCTGTGTTTTACTTGCATCTATTTGAAAGAGTGAGTGTAAACACAAAAAATATTTTATTTTATGTGCTGGAATGTGCAGAAAATAGGTTTCAATGTTAAACTAATTTATTCAAGTCAGAGAATGTTGCATATAATTAAATTTTTGCTTGATGCATAAAGTTAAAAGATTAAAACTGATAAAACAAGTTAAAAAAAGAGACTTTTCCATTTGATTACATTTTGTATGATGGATTATGCAGAAAAAGTAGAATTGGGCTGAAAGATCTATCGCTTTATTACCTATTCAGGTTGTAAATCGTGTTTTTAAAAAGTAACTAAGTAACTAAGTAATTAATTACTTTTGAAAATAAGTAATCAGTAAAGTAACGGGATTACTTTTTTGGGGAAGTAATCAGTAATTAGTTACTGATTACTTTTTTCAAGTAACTTGACCAACACTGGGAGTAATTGGTTCAGATAGTGTAACTGTGACCCAAAGGTGCTTTCAAATTGCATCCAAATTATTATCTAGCAGGCCAAGAAAGCATCCTGTTAAAAATTTTAAACTGTTCAGTGAAGCCTGGGGAAATGATGCCGACAGAGACCAAATAAATATGTTACAGCCTTACCAGTCGACTTTCCTGCAACACCTTGGGGATAACCACCCTGCCCAAGTGCAGCAGCAGCTAAAATGTAAAATTTATTTCACACGAACAGGAAGAAACACAGAATATGAAATGCAAAACATGATTTCTTATCTCCAAGCAAAGAAAAGACAAAATAAGGAAAATTTACATGCATACCTCCAAGTTTTCCAGCTGCTCCACCCAGATACGCTCCCTGTCCCAACCCTGCTGGCAGCACATCGTAAGTCTTTACCAAAGTTGTAAACCTACCTCTCCATCTGCTAAAAACAGCAGCTAGTCTTCGTGAATTATGTGTCATTGCCCAGCATTACCTGCTCCATAACCCAAAGCGCCCAGGCTTGCTCCCATGTAGTTTCCCGCTCCACCAGCATAACCTGAGAAGAAGGTAAACAAGCTCAGCAAAATCACCCGAGATTTACTTTAGGCTAAACGCACTTCACTTTTCCTTTCCTTACATAATAAAGACAGTTATGGAACGCTTTTTCAACCTCATCAGGCCATAAATGTCTTCATCTTTGTCAGACTTGTATTGGGAGATCCTCTCCACTGGACTGAGTCCTAAAAACCACAACGACCACCTAAAATCACTCCCTAAGTCACAGATACCCAGATGAAAGACTGAGGTATTTGGGATTTTTTATGTTTTACTATTGCTCCCAGCAAAACAAGTTATACATTCCTGGGTTCCAATCTGGATAAATATGAGTTTAGATATGGTCTAATTTGATTAATAAAGACTCCAGCAATATTTTTACACACAGACAGTAAACCACACACAAAACCCGGCTGTAAGAAGGAAGAATGTACATGTGACATATATTGTTTTAGAGTTAAATTCCATACATAACGAGAAAACATAAAAACAAATGAACAACTCAAAGCTCCTCCCAGCACTCGATGTAGTATGATCAGAAGCCTGTTACCAAGAACAATGCAAATCTCTTACTGGAATGCACATTAGCATAAAAAACAGGCTGAAGCCACACTGGTTTCAGTTTTGTGTCGTGTAGCAGCTTCTGGATTTGAACATGGAAACTAAAATCTAATCAATGATCACTGCTCTCACCAGTGATTAAATCTTGAATTTCCCTCAGTGCAATGCCCAGATTGACTATTTTCAGTATCACTGGCAACTGCAGCCCAAGAGATCTAAGCTACAAGATAGCAAACAGCTGTTTACTATGGCTCAAGCGGTGTGCACTGCATGTGTTTTGACTTTCCTACAAAATGCAAAGATATCCAAACAGACCTGAAGGTGCATCAGAGCTGAAAGCCAAAATCACAAACCTTCACCAAACCGAGGTTAGAAGTCATGATTCAAGGTTTTCCAAGGTGATTGCTCCACTGCCTTGCAGCTTATATTTATCATGTTAATATGTAATTATTGTGTGTTATATATAACGCAGTCTAATTTGTTTATTTATTTTTTGGTTAAAACTAAATATGAGCATCTGAAAATACTAAGCTACTGGTATTACATCCAGTCGTGAATGCACAGATTGCTGAGTGTTGTCAGCGTGGCTTCACAAATGATGAAATCCCTGTGTTTTTAGCTGAATCACATCACGTGACTATCAGCAAACATACTCGCAATTTGTTGGGATCCATTTTTGAGTGCGCGTTCCTCTGCGCCATATGCTTCCGGGTAACAAGAAAGCGACCTCATTCACGTAGATTTTTGATTGGCAGAGCTAACTTGAAATTTTGAGAAAAGTAACTCGAAATTTCGAGTTATGGATACTAGTTTTTTGTTTTTATTTAGTGGCGGAAACGGGCTTCCATAGAAAACAGCTCAGTCGCTAGTTTTTCAGCATGAATTTTACATTTGGTCACATTAGAAGAGGGAAAACCTTTCAAAACTGCCTCTTTTGTTTGACTAGTTCAACTTTTTTTAAGCCAAAAAATTTGAACTTGGATTTTGGCAAAACAATACTAGCAATTAGAGTCACTAGTTTAAAAGGCTAACTTGGTAAAGTGTTTTGTTTGACTAGTACAGCAAAAGTCTCAATGCCAACTAGTGGAGGAAACTAAAGTCTGTTTAAAAGCATAGACATCACACAAACAACAATCTGAAAGCCAGTCTCAGAAATATGAAATTGTTTCTCAAAAATCTCAAGAACGGACCACAGACAGACAGATATGAATCAAAAAAGACATTTAGATGGTGAAAAAGCTTTGCTCTTACTTGGAGTCTGGGCATTCCTCCCAGTCTGCCCTGGGATAGGGAGGGCTTTTGGCTTTTTGACATCATGTTCAGTTTGGGAATTCTGTTTAGCACTCTGATCATCTCCATTAAAGCCTGGAGCTTCCTGTCCATCTGCTCTATTAGAGGCACTGCCTACACTTAGGGTTCCACTAGTACCTGGGATCACTGCTCCATAGCGCCTTCCTCCTTTTGCTGGAAGGTTTGCAGTACTATATCTGCCATCTTGTACCGTAACAGTCCCACGGATTCTGATTCCATTTGCGTTTTCAGCTAGAAGTCCTTTGACGCGCTGCCTGTCTGCCACAGCAGAGAAATAATCTCTTATTCTCTGATCCAGTGGAGTCGCGTAAATACGTCTTCTTACATCCCCAGCTTCTGAAAAAGGTAGTCGAGAGGTTTTGTCTTTTTCTTTTTGTGACGTCGTGCTACCAAGATGTCTGAGTTCTTCACCAAGATGCGGCTGAGCAATTGAACTTTGACCCTTTTGAATTCCTGAATCTAAGCGATTGTTTTCTAGTAAATTAATAGGAGATCCACAGTTTTCCACTCGCTGATTTTCACGTTTGGATGAATCATAGTCTCGGGCACTCTGAGATGAATAAGAACCCAGACTTTGGATGTTGTCTTTATCAACAGGCAGTTGTCTTCTCGGACCTCCAGCTCCCAAAATGACTTCATGATTTGGGGCCAGCTTTCTTTTGGGTATTGCAGGGTGGTTACTTTGTCCTTGATCAGTAGGTGTTGTGTGTCCAAGACTCGATGACTGGACTGTTGAATCAAAGCTTTTGACCTCCTGCTTTCCAAACGAGTCTAGACCTCTGATTTTTTCTCGTTTAAGATCTTGAACAGCTTGACCCTGACTGGCCATCTCAGGTCCAACCAAATGTTCTGCAGACACACCTGGCAGAGAGATATCAGCATGCATTCACAACTTCATCTCACCTCAGAGACAACAGTGTTTCTTTGAGGTCCAGCAGCACACTGTAGCAGCAAACTTCAAGCCTTTCTTTGAAGTTTGTAATATAAATCGGAGCATCCACAGAAAAATCAGAACCAAACCAAGGATAGAATCAGTGGGAACTCAGACAGACTTACACATTCATTTAGAGTAATGACACCAGCACATAAAACGTGACATGACAACACATTGTTTCCTTCACAAATTGTTGAAATGTCAAAAAACACACCAGCGTTCAAGCACAAGACAAAAGGATATCCTGACTCGAGCAACATCTGTGTATGACACACAACAACGGAGCTGAGTGGGCATGAAAGCAGAAGCCTGCAGTCCACAGCAAAAGCAACTGAAATTTTTCTGATTCTTAAAGTGAGGGTTTACTCATAATATGTGTTTAAACTACAAGCATATTTACATTTACTATGAGCCAGAACCAGAGTCGCCAAACAGTTTTAAAACATATCTCAAAGGCAAAAAACAAATAAAGTGTGAGTGTGAGTAATTTCTTATTTTGCCTTTAAACCATGTGTGTGCAGCATAAGGAATAATAAGTAGCCCACAGGTGGGGGCTGGAGTGGTGGAGGGGAAGGAAGCCAATGTGGAAGTGTCTTAAAATTGCATTCTTTCTAATACCTGACAGGGATGCTTCTGGTTGCATAAAAGCTTAGGGTTACAAAAAAGTCTATGGGAAAATGGCCCTCACTCATTTGCTCCCTTGCTGACTAAAACATGTATTTTAATTAGTAAATTCTTGCTGTTCTAACAACCACAAATGAGGACAAGTCATTGGCTAACAACATGTCAGCCACAAGTCATCAGCCAATGAGCATTCGGTGATCTCAGTCAGAGCTTTCTCAGGACATCTGGTTTCGAAACACTAGGCTGAAAGAGCCAGGAAGTCATGCAACATGCAGTCGAGATGAAACACCAATAGACACGATGAACTGTGCGCACAAAATAAAACAGACCAGTCTTCAGATGATAGTAAAATAGATACAGATGATCTGTTTTCATGCACATAAAGACATGAAATCAACATCAATAGCAGTGAATCACAAGTCAGCAAAGATGAAGACAGACTGATTACACAGAAACACCACAGATTTTACACCTGCACGGGTGAAACCCATAAAGCAGATGTCACTGATAACAGCAGCATCGCAAGCCAGCGTATTACAGTTTAGGAGTTTGTTTTTTTTTTGCAAAGACACAATCTCTGCAAAGTGCTTGTGTCACAGATGTGAGCGTATTATTATTGTACTGTATAATGTATTAAGACAGCTTCTGAGAAACAATCTCTGCTGATCAGCTTGATAAGGCTGATGTGTATGCATGCCTCTGCATCAAGTCTGGCAACAGGCCTAAAACAGTTCAAAGCTAAAAGAACAGGACATCACATGAAACATAGTTCATCACTTACCTGGTCGTGCTCCAAGATATCCAATGCCCCCTAAAGATCCATATCCTGGCAAGGAAACAAAAACAGCTCATCTTTAAATAAATCAGCACGGGGGTTACGTCACTGACATCCTGGGTTTCTCTCAATACTACAAGGACACATAATCCATTAGCTGAGATGCAGTCTGCCCCATATACCATGTCCACTGACAGGTTGACAGGGTCCAACTTATTGTGTTTATTAAACCAATTTCTTTACTCTCATTTGTGCATACAGCACAAGGAAACAAAAGTGTTTACCTGGAAGTGTTCCCAAGCCAGCACCATAAGCTGAAAAGTCACAAAAACACAGAGTTAATATTTCTTTACAAAGATCCCTGCAGCTGCTATCCAACCGTTTGTTAGATTCATCCTCATCCTTGCTGTGTAATATCTGTAAAAGGTGTGACATGAGTTGTAGCAGTTCAACCTTTCACAAAACTGGTTGCATCTTAGCCTTCTTGGTTTTCTGCCAGGATTTGCATGCAATACAGGCTGCCAAGATTTCTGCTGCTAGGTGTGAGCACAACTAAAAATAACCCCAATCTTGCACCAGACCACACTGGGAGGCTTAATATCTTAAGTACTGAGAAAATAATTGGTGGCATTGTTAATATGATAACTATGATGAATCATAAGAGTAAAAAAAATGTATAAGGTAATTTGCAAATCAGAACAGTGAGGGTAAAGTTTCAACAACCTTGACATATGTAACACATGTAAGCAGCACACATAGTTATTTATTTCGAGTAATAAATAACGACCAATAACAAAAACACAAAGTAAAGTAAATGGCTCCCTAAAGAAGAAGATATATAAATAGGGCCTATTAAGTCTTTCTTTATATATCAGTCTTACCACGTTTTCCTCCCTGGCCCAATCCCAGTCCCAGTCCGTTTGTGAGCCCAGCCCCCAGCCCCATTCCTGGGCCCAGACTGGCACCTAAAGCCACAGGGAAAATTTATCATACATTTTTAATAAACTATTATTTATTTCATGAACTAGACTGACCACATCCAAGAGAAAAGAATGAAAAAGTATGCTGTGAGGGTTTGAGTGTGTACCATAGGCTCCCTGGTTTCCATATCCACCTTGCATCAGACCAGCTCTTCCTCCTAATCCAAGAGATCTGTAGCCTCCTGAGGGCACAATGAAAATAATACATATACAGAATATAGTTAAAGTTATAGTTAAAGAATATAGTTTTTAAACCAGGTGCATCAACAGAATCTTTCTGTGCATAGTAAATCCCAAGTAATATCATGGTCAAAAACATTTTTAAAAAACTGTGTGATGGATCCCTTTTAAACAGGAGAAATTGTTTTTGCATGTTTGATTTGCTCACCAACACCAAGCTGGGCTGCAGGATAACGTCCAACTGAAATATTTAACAAAGTAAAAGTTTAAATATCCCCTCTGTATGGTTAAAGAGACATAAGAGGCAGAAAATCAAGCAGATTAAACCTACTTCCAGTCTTCATTGCTTTGTTGCCATATCGGCTACCCAGTGCTCCAAGGGCACCAGTAACTGAGAGGAAACAGAAAAATTATTTTACACTCTGCTTTTTTTTTAAATATTACTTTAGCTATTACAGTTTTGACCAAAATAATTGCCATTAAGATTTTTACCATAATTTATCAGCCCTAGTCACTCATAGAGTTAATGCCCATCGAAGGAATAGACTACAATATGTGCATTTGTGCATCCAAAGACACAAATCAGCCAGAACATTGCTAATGTATGCTGTATGAAAGACTTACCTCCAGGTTTCAAGCCGCCGATTCCCACACCTCAATAAAACAAAACAAAAAAAGACACAAAACCGGAAAACAGTTAAAGGCACATAAGAAAATTTCAGAGTTTAAGGAAACAGTGTATTTAACCTGTTATTTTTGATCGAAATGGATAGTTTCCCCCTTTGTAACAGAGTTGTATCAATTTTTTATAACTCCACCAACACATAGGGGCGTGGCTTCCAGTAATGGGCCTCAGTGCCGCTAATTTGAGTCACTGAACTCCATCATGTTTACACTGTTGGTGCCTTCTGCAGCATTTTTAATGGATTTATCTGACAAATATTACAACCTGTGCTGTGGTACAGACTCTCCAAGAAATTTTGACAATTTTTTGCGAGTTTTAACAATTGTTTTGTGCTAAATTATTATTGGTCTGTTGTTTAGCACTAATTATGATATAAAATGTGTCCGTGCATTGCAGCGATACTGATGATTTAAGACATTTGGAGTTCAAAATCACAGAATGATGTCACAGTGGCTGTCCATCCTTTATATACAGTCTGTGTTGTTGTTTTTTTAAAACATGAATTAAACATTGAAATAACTTAAAAACAATTTAAAAATGTATAAATACCTCTGGCTGGAAGCACCCTCCCCCAGGAAACACTTTGAGGTTTAACCCCTGAAACATTAAAAAAATGTGAACAGTTTTTCACAGTCACCATGGTTACAGCCTATCAAACACCAAACAGTGTAATGATAACAATACTGTTGTGTTGTGTTAGTTAATGAATCTGTGATTTATAATTAATTATACTTATATTTCTAATGAATCTAACTTATAATAAAAGTGAGTGAAGATGGTGAGAGTCTGTAGCCACATACGTACCAAAAACAAAAAGAACAACTACAAAATGTTTTATTGACAGGATTATGAATATTTCACCTACAAATATCAGGATATCTATTGGGAGACCTAGAGATTTATTTTCGTCCTGCTATTTTCACTTTATGCAACTGATTAAAAAATGCAGATAAGGAAAATATGATATGCATAACTGTAAAATACAGTGTAAAGAAGTGATGCGCATTAAGGAAACGTTAACATATTTGTTTCACAGATTTACTGCATGAACTTTTTTTAAAGGACATTAGAGGTCCTTCAACAAAAGCATTATTTGTTTTTATTAATCTAAATTTTTAATTTTATGCCAACACTATCACTGTGTAGGAGACTCAAAAGATGACCTTAAAACTGTGGGAATTACAGTTTAGATGTCAGTTGAGGATTACATCAGTAGTGGAACCTGATTGGACTAAAGGTGCGAGACAAACAGATATCCACTGATGCGACCAGAGCACGAGATCAAATACAGCGCCAGTGTGGAGCCTGTTAGTTCTTCTCACAGTTGGATGTGACATTTTGCCTGCTTATGCCACCTTTTCATTGCATCCTTTGAATCAGTGAAATTAGATCATATAAACCAAAGCAACTTGGCGGTGACTCTGCTGTTGGAGCCCAGAGTCCATACAGTCCTCCCCTCAGTCTCAAAGAGATGAGATCTAACAAGTGAGTGAGAGGGACTCACTAAAGATGCTGATTCATCGGGACTTTAACTTGGACCAAAATATGATATGATCTAATTCATTTGTCAGCTAAAGATACAATTAATCTTGACGCTAGACAAAATGAATTCAATTTTGACTAAATAAAAAAGCATTTTTGTGCAGCATTTCTTTAGATCATGTTAAATATCAACATAAATTATTTTTCTTCCAACTAAATTTAGTAACTTCTTTACATTAAGTTGGATTATGCCAGTTAGACTTATATTAATCTTTGTGCAATTCCAATTCCAATGTTTTTAAAGCAGCAAACACGATAATTAAAACATGAATGAATACTTTTGTGTTAAAGCTCATGGATCTAAACCATTACAAATCGAAAAAAAAAAAAGGCCAAGAAAAATAGTTCATAAAACTTTAGACTTTGTCCCGTGAGTTTCTTACCGCCTTGCAGAGTTTGCTGAGCCAACCAGAGAACCAGCGAAGTCTGGAGCAGAGCTCGAGCCAGCATGATGGAGGAGGCACTGTGCAAAAACCAGCAGCACTTAAAGAGAAGAAAGAGATGTACAGAAAGACAAATACAAGTCTGGTACTTAAAGCACCGCAGCCTCTTTTATATGCTTTTATACACTCCCACTGGCCAGTCCTGCCCTCTGAAAACACACATCAGTCTGAATGGGCAAAGCCAAAGGCCCATTTCGCTCCATTTCCTTTAGATGAGAATGCAGACACACACACACACACACAAATCCACGATCATTTTAATGAGTGATAATCAAATCTACTGTTTTCACTGTTAACACATATAAGGAGCCAAAGATTCAGTAATCTCTTATACATTCACACTTATAATGCAAAGTGTAATGAAATGCACTGTGGTGCAATGCTAAAAGCTTGTTGTCATAGTCTTTGTAAATATTCATGGCTCTACTCTTATTATCCTTGTTTTTTTTCTATTTTGTGGGGCTGAATATTGATTCTTGGATGTTTGATATCCTTAGTTATTGTTTTGCCGTTGCTATTTTTTCTGTGTTCCCTTGTGTCTGTATCTAAGTTTGTCTCTCGTTCAGTTGACTTAATATTTCACTTTGAAGCTTAGATGCTCATATGATTTTTGAGGGTTTTACTTCCCTCATTTGTTCTTTTGACACTTTATTTAGTGTCTGATTAAGTCCACTGGTTCTTTATTACCCCTTCCCTTCTTCTGTGTCTTGTGTAGTCCTCGTTTTCTCCTGCTGGCTCTCTGCGTTTCTGGATTTTTCCTATTTGCCCTTTAGATATGTTTTTCCTGCCAACATGGCAGTTACCTTTTTTTGTCTGTGTTTGTTTGTTTGTTTTTCTGTTGAACACCCTGAATAATATGAAAAATATGCAAATACATAATGTACAAGACAGGAACTATATGCCAAGGCAAGCTAAAGATGCTGTACAAAGCAGAGTGGACAGAATTTGGCTCACTGAGCTGACAGGGGGTAAAGAAGAGCTTTGTTCTGTGTCTGTTGGCAATTCCCTGAACACATAGACTGTCATGGTTCTGCTTTCTTTATTGACATTTCAGGTGTTTCCAAATATCTCACGTATTTAAATACAGGCTGTCTACTCCAGTGTCCATTCTATGTATAGTCTGTCTATCTGTGTACTCTATATTTTATTTATTTTTATATTAAGCCTTTATTTTGCATCTCTGGTTTTATCATATCACCTTTAAAATCTACTTTTTGTTTTTTAACCTGCCACTTTGTCCTTCATGTCGATCCTCTTTCCCAAATCCAGGATAACAACGCTGCAGTCTATTGGTCCAGGGCAGTGGGATGCTTCATAATCTCACTATCTCCGGTTCTCCACCTTCTCCACTGATCTCCTGGGATCTAAGGTCCAGCAAACCGTCTCCCAAACCAGCTGCTGATGCTTTTTTTGTTTTACAAATTTGGATGCTTTTCTAAACAGCTCAGACAAAAGGCCACTGAAAAACACACAACAGTGTTTTCTCCATACCGACTCTCTTCAGTTTGAGGAACAACTATGAAAAAAGCTGATGACACACACACAAACTCAATTTCCCTGCTCACTAATGCAAATACAGCACCCATGCCCTGGAAAACATTTATATATGAAAGTGAAGACAGATGATTTGCAGATAATTATGACACATCTGAACTCCTTTTCCACATAAACTAAATAATGTTTAACAGCAGGCCGGTTTTTCCTGCTTTTTGTTAGTAGAACAAATACTGCACCTCCTAAACAGAGGGGGGAAAGGAGTATACAAAAAGAATCTGTTCGTATAAATTCAAATATCCCGGTTAAAAAAGGAACTTGGAAATTGCAGACTTAATACATGACGACATTATTATATTTGTGTGCACAAGGTACTGCTGTGTCTCCAGTAGTCTCAAACCTCAATTAAAATGTAATTTTAAGAACTTTTCTACAGGGGAGCATTGTAATCTCTTAAAACAGGCTGTCAGCTGCCATCTCTGGGACAACATAGACAGCAGTGTGTGCCACTACAGTCTGTTGAGACTGGGCACAAGAAGCATTAACCCATGGCAATATCAATGCCAAGCTCAGGATCATATAGAGTGTGTGAGGTCTTGTGCATGAAAGCCATTTTTTTTAATGTAATGTTTAAGTTTATGTCTTAACCTGAGGCACGGCAGCGCTCGATGCAAACGTCTGACTGGAACGAAGAACCACATGCGATGTTTTTGCTTTTAAAGACGCCACAGAAGGAAAACTGAAGTCACACGTGCAGACCACCACATCGTCTCCCCTGGTGGTACCGAGCGTAAGACAATAACAGGAGCCACGTCTGACTCATTACTCGTTCACCCATGATTCACCTCCAAATATTTATCTGTCTACACATTTGAGAGGTGCCTTTAAAACAATGCATTTATAAGGAGTGTGCGAGTTTATCACGAGGAGAAGTCAAAGCTCTGAAAAGAAGAGCGGGTGGTATGAAGTGTGTTGGCTCATTAACCGAGAGAAGAGTAATATAACTTCAGTTTGGAGAGACACATCTGGACGGTGTGTTCAGTGTGGTCGGTAAAACACTGTACCCCAGTATATACATATAATGTGCCATGTGTTGCCCTCATGTGTCCTTTAAGAAGAAAAGAGGAGAGCACGAGTGACCTGTACAATTGACTTTTTAACAGCTGACACTTTGGGTAAGAGTTGAATTGAGGACTCATTTTATCTGATTTACCTCCTCTTAATCCTGGTAGATCAGCTGATATCCTATTACGCACCCATTAGGCAAATCCCACACAGGGAGTATTATATAAGTTACTTCAGCCCATCTACTTTTGCTGATGCACCTGCAAGCTGCTTTGCAACCCCCTCTCTACATTAATCCCCCTTTGCATACTCAGTCTGAGTTATGGGCGTGTTACGGTTTCAGCACATCTGCTAGGATCCCCTCTGGTCCGAGTGATGCAGCTTTCATCGCCAGACACTGAGCGTAAGGTTCCACACAGACATCTACAGAGATGCTACTTTACAACGCAGCAACTACGCCCTTCAGTCGGACTTTAAGCAGACTTCAAAGAATTATAACAGGAATGACTCGTCCATGGTGTCTGCAGTTGATCGTGTTTGTGTCCACAACAGGAAATAAAAATCGCTTTAATCAGTGTCGTGTTTGATGTCATCGATGCCTGCTCCGTAACTGTTGTGGCCAAAGGCTTAATTCTGGTCTCCATTTCACTATTTGTTGAAATTAAAATGCACATATGACACATTCTTGTCAATAAGAAGCAATCAGGTAGCATTTAGAAAGAGTCACGGCTCCATTTTCATTTAAAATAAACAACTGGTTCAAAATCTCTGCACACCCGAATGAACAACAGATGCATAGGAGAGAGAAAGAATTTTTACAAACTTACTTACCACTTTTTTTTAATAAGTCACATTGCTTTTAACTGACCTTCATCAGGTACAAAACGATGTATTGTATGCATTTTACATGGCTTCTAATACATCGTTTTGTACCTGATGAAGGTCAGTTGGACTGAAATGTTCTGATTCAGTAAAATAGTGGTAAGCGAGACACTTAAAACAAACAAAAATGCTCAACAGGAACTGCGAAACCAAACTTAAGCATTAACAAAGACTTGGATACAATGTAACGAGGGCACATGGACAGTGAAAAACACCTGAGTAGGTTTAAAGTCACCTTTGATATTAAGTTTTCCAATTGCAGCCAATAAGATGATCAACTTGGTGGTCTCGTGTAAATACAAACACATGGAATTACTTATCATTGCTCGTAACGTCAGTATCTGTCATCAGAAAGGAACAGTTTTGTCTCAGTGAAGTAAACCTTCACCCTGGAAAAACAATCATTGTTTACTCTTTGTAGACTCTCGCTGTGGCAGTTTGGAACAGAACTGTTTATTGGAGGTTTTATGCTCGTCTTCATCCAGCTTGTGAAGCACTGTGGGCCACCTCCAGGGGGGCTTAATATTAGTGTTAAGCTCCATGTAGCATAAAGAGAAGAACACAAAGACCTGCCGAGTGACTGTACTGGTGCTGGTTTTTAGGGAAGGTGTTTCAGCTAAAAGTTCGGTCAGTGCTTGTGGAGGGCTGAAACCTCTCACAATTTATTTATTTTTTTTGTGTCTTTTGAAGACGTTACATACCCCAACAGTATTTAATCAGGGAGTCTATCATAAAATTGAGCTCCCAGAATTTTTCAAAATAACTGTTTGTGAAAGAAAGCTGAGAACATTTCTGGAAACCTGATGATATATCAGTTTAGGAACTGTTTTTGTTTGAAAATGTTAAATGAAATTTGACTATATGGAATGAAACGTATGTATTATGTATTAAATAGCTTGCAGGATATATTGCATCACCATAAGGATCCTAGTTTCATTATTAGCATGCTTTAGTTCCAGATATATATCTTGGTTATATTTAACGTAACCACAAGCAAAAGAAAGTTTTTACATGGCTCCGTGCAGTCCTTTGAAAAACTGAGTGCAACCCATAATTCAGTAGCTTGTAGAACAAACTTTATCAGTGATAATTTAGTAATTGTTCACTGTATGACTTCATCAGTCTCTCAGATGGATGTGGAGGAATTTTTGCCCACTCTTCTTTACAATGTTGCTTAGTTCATTGAGGTTTACAGGCAGTTATTTTTGCCTTGGCCATTGTTGCACCTTGATTCTTGTTATAATTCAAAAACATTCGCTTGAAGATTTTCTGCTTTGTCCTGTAGCATAACCCAGTTTGGTCAAAGCTTTAGTTGATTTGAGGTACCTTTGATTATTTGCTGTGTTTCTAAAAATGTAGCCAAACATCTTCAGTTTGGTCTCATCTCCATAAAGAACATTATTCCAAAAGTCTTGTGGTTTTTTTCAGATGCAGCTTTGCAAACCTAAGCCATGCTATCATCTTCTTTTTCGAGAGAAAAGGTTTTCTCCTGGCAATCCTTCTAAAACAAGCCACACTTGTTCAGGCTTTTACTCAAAGTACAGTGAGGAACTTTAACATTCAACATGCTAGCTGAGGCCTTGCAGAGGCTGAAATTGAGCTCTTGGGATTTTTGCTGCTTCTATTAGCTTTGC